CTAACACATCTATCTTTCCAGTTTTTGGTCTCCAAACCTCAGTTGTTGAATATCCAGAAGAGAAAATTAATGACATTACATTATAATGAAGACAGTAAACTTAATATTACAATCTTATCTACATATCAAGCACCTTAGAACATAAACAGAACCATTATTTTCTAATAATCATGGAAGTTTTAATATTTGAATTCCTATAGAATGTTAATGGTTAAAAAAAAAGAGCATTGGGCTGGGGAGATAGCTCAGTGATCTAAGGGCCTACTTGGCAAGCACAGGGACCCAGGTTCGATCTCTGGTACCACATTCTGTGCCAGCCCTGGAACCCTGGGCACGTGTTACTGGCCATCGAAATTGGGCATGATGGTGCATGCCTGTAATTCTAGCACTGGGGAGGCTGAGCCAGAAGGATTGAGTCCAAGCTGCGTAGTGAGCTCCTGTACCAAATATAATATAACCCGTTTAATCAGTCATCTCTATCTAATACATAAGAAACTTTTGGACTGGGGAAATAGCTCCCTAGTCTAAGTGCCTGCCTGGCAAGTGCAAGGTCCCAAGTTCCATACTCTATACCACATGCTGTGCTAGCTCTAGAACCCTGGGCACATTGTGCCAGCCCTGAAACTGGGCAAGGTGGCACATGCCTGTAATCCCATTGCTGGGGAGGCTGGGATAAGAGGATCACTACAAATCTGGACTGCATAGGGAAACCTGTACCAAATAAATAAATAAACATTTTTTAAAAAACCTTTTACCTAACTTGTTGTCCTTTAATGGGATGTACCTCAAATAAGTTTTTATTAAAGACCTATGTCTGAATCTGAAAGAAAAGTCTATCTTTATAAGCAGTTCTTGTCCCACACTTGGGAAGACCTGCACATCTGCAGGCGTGAATACATTTAATACACACACACACACACACACACACACACACACACACACAGAAACCCTATCAGTTGTTATCGTCATGTGAAAACCTTTGTACCAGAACATTTTTAAATCAAAAATCTTACTGTCTGGAAAACTTAATCCTTTGATAAATGAACAATGTAAACATATTACAATAATATATTTTAGGGGCTGGAGAGATGGCTCAGTGGTCTAAAGCACCTACTTGAAACAAGCTTGGCAAAGCACAGGGACCTTGGTTCGATCCCC